AGTCAACAATCAATCAGGAGGTCAGAGTCAACAACAATCAGGAGGCTACATCATAATTATGGATGTCAGAGTCAACAACAATCAGGAGGCTACTATGACCATCATAATTATGGATGTCAGAGTCAACAACAATCAGGAGGCTACTATGACCATGATAATTATGGATGTCAGAGTCAACAACAATCAGGAGGCTACTATGGCCATCATAATAATGGATGTCATGGAGTCAACAACAATCAGGAGGCTACTATGACCATCATAATTATGGATGTCAGAGTCAACAACAATCATGGGAGGCTACTACAACCATCATAATTATGGATGTCAGAGTCAACAACAATCAGGAGGCTACTATGGCCATCATAATTATGGATGTCAGAGTCAACAACAATCATGGATGGGAGGCTACTATGACTACGCGATAATCAGGATGGTGACCATGATAATTATGGATGTCAGAGTCAACAACAATCAGGAGGCTACTAAGGCCATCATAATTATGGATGTCAGAGTCAACATCAATCTGGAGGCTACTATGGCCATCATAATTATGGATGTCAGAGTCAACAACAATCAGGAGGCTACTATGACCATCATAATTATGGATGTCAGAGTCAACAACAATCAGGAGGCTACTATCGCCATCATAATTATGGATGTCAGAGTCAACAACAATCAGGAGGCTACTATGGCCATCATAATTATGGATGTCAGAGTCAACAACAATCAGGAGGCTTCTGTTGCCATCATAATTATGGATGTCAGAGTCTACAACAATCAGGAGGCTACTATGGCCATCATAATTATGGATGTCAGAGTCAACAACAATCAGTAGGCTTCTGTGGCTATCAGAATTATGGATGTCAGAGTCAACAACAATCAGGAGGCTACTATGGCCATCATAATTATGGATGTCAGAGTCAACAACAATCAGGAGGCTACTATGGCCATCATAATTATGGATGTCAGAGTCAACAACAATCAGGAGGCTACTAAGGCCATCATAATTATGGATGTCAGAGTCAACATCAATCTGGAGGCTACTATGGCCATCATAATTATGGATGTCAGAGTCAACAACAATCAGGAGGCTACCATGGCCATCATAATTATGGATGTCAGAGTCAACAACAATCAGGAGGCTACTATGACCATCATAATTATGGATGTCAGAGTCAACAACAATCAGGAGGCTACTATGGCCATCATAATTATGGATGTCAGAGTCAACAACAATCAGGAGGCTACTATCGCCATCATAATTATGGATGTCAGAGTCAACAACAATCAGGAGGCTACTATCGCCATCATAATTATGGATGTCAGAGTCAACAACAATCAGGCTGCAGATTATTTTTTTGTACAATGTTCAGGGTAAAAAATATAGAAAATACAGTAACATCCCAAAAGCTTGATAAAGCAAGATGATGCACACTTACTATTTATTCACCTCTACATTTACGAAACATGAACTTCACAATGACATTTTATTTCCATATGAGTGAACGTAAATATTATCTGATATTGTTTCCTCCTTTCTTAGTCTTTCAAAAACAATTCATCTTTTCCCAGTCATATCATGTGTCATGTTAATCTGAGCCCTGTTAGGCCCCACAACTGAAATGTCATTCCAGGAAACTGGAGCCTTCATTTATGATGGAATTCTACTGTTGAAACTGTCACTGCAAGAAACTCTCATTACCTCCACATTATATGTCCCATATCATAATGTTCCGTCAGATGTATTATCAGACCTGCATGACAACAGTTGCCAGGTCGTTTATGTTATCATTTTAATTGCATCTTGGAATCATGGTCATGCACATACAGACATCTTGATGAAAACTGTATCATATTATCACAGCCTCATCAGAAGTACGTCATAGTGTACAGGTTTATGTGGTAGTGACACAAAATAACCATCAGTTTTTGTTTTCAGAAGCTTCATTTCATGTCACATACTTATAATGATGTTTTGATGATAAATGTAATACATCCCATATCCCAGCCAAAATCATTACTCCCCAGTTGTAAATATATGTACCATACCCATATTGCTATTACCATCACAAACAAGGGTGCCCATATTGCAATTACCATCACAAACAAGGATGCCCATATCGCAATTACCATCACAAAAAAGGGGGCCCATATTGCCATTACCATCACAAACAAGGGTGCCCAAATTGCTATTACCATCACAAACAAGGGTGCCCAAATTGCTATTACCATCACAAACAAGGGTGCCCATATTGCTATTACCATCACAAACAAGGGTGCCCATATTGCTATTACCATCACAAACAAGGGTGCCCATATTGCTATTACCATCACAAACAAGGGTGCCCATATTGCTATTACCATCACAAACAAGGGTGCCCATATTGCTATTACCATCACAAACAAGGGTGCCCATATTGTTATTACCATCACAAACAAGGGTGCCCATATTGCTATTACAGTCACAAACAAGGGTGCCCATATTGCTATTACCATCACAAACAAGGGTGCCCATATTGCTATTACCATCACAAACAAGGGTGCCCATATTGCTATTACCATCACAAACAAGGGTGCCCATATTGTTATTACCATCACAAACAAGGGTGCCCATATTGCTATTACCATCACAAACAATGGTGCCCATATTGCTATTACCATCACAAACAAGGTGAGGTGAGGTGAGGTTTAATTGGGTTTAACGTCGTGCTTGAGAATATTTCGCTCATATGACGACGTGCATGCGTGTGTATGTGTATGTGCGGCTGCTTGTATTAGCCCAGACTTAAGCTTGTTTTATAGTGCTGGCCCACTGAGATACCATGCCGCAGTGAAGCATGAATACTCCACTCAGACACATTATACTGACTCTGAGCCGACCAGTCCTTGTTGTACCCATTAATGCCGAGCGCCAGGCACGGACCAACAAGTACCATATTTTAACGTCTTTTGGTATGACGCGGTCGGGGATCGAACCCGCGACCTTCCGCTCTCTGGGCGGATGCTCTAACCACTACACCACGGAGGCGGTATCACAAACAAGGTGCCCATATTGCTATTACCATTACAACTGAGTCTATAGAGTGTCTATGTGAATTCAATTATCTGTTCAATGCCATGAGACTCGTCTCCATTGTGATGTCATTTCTTGCCTTGTGTCTTTTGTGTCCATGAGTTTTGCATGACTGTATTTCACTTTCCGCTGTTTGTTGATGCATGTTAGTCATGTTGTGCCCAGAAATGTACATGACTGTACTTTTTTAAGTTTTAAGTTTGGTTGAGGCCAGTTTTCCATGTGTGTTCAATGTGTAGAGTAGAGTCTACCAGTGTGAAGGTAGAGGAGGTGACTAGAACTGTACTAGACACATGTCCTGGTTACCTACTTCATGCCTGCTGCTCTCTCCTGTCAGTACACGGGCAGTCAAGACTATTAACTGATTATGGATATGGCGAAACATAATTTATTAATACAAATCAGATTATTTATTAATGCTAGCCTAATGATTTATGAATGTTGAGGTTGCCTTATCTAAATGATAAACTAAATGTGTTCAGAGTGCTGATTTGAGGCCAACACTTTCATGTCCTGACCACTGCTATCAGTGTAGCTTGGAGACTGGAATCTACACAGACATTATGTTGGGTGTGTGACCTGAAGTCAGGGCTTGTCTTGTTTAGTTCTCCATGTAGACTGACACTAAAGAAGCTATTTGTCCATTGGGTTACAGCAGGGATGGGTTATCTGGGTACCAGGTAATTTACTTTCAACATAGAAGTACCCAAAGCAATGGTCACCTATCATTGCCATCTGTTTGGTAATATATACATGGACACAATCAAATACCAATTGGGATGGAAAGTGCTTTGTAAGTTATGACTGAAATAAATGAAAAAGTCAAAAGGGATAATACACTTTAATTCTTTAATTCACTGTTAGTCATTACTAATTTACCATTGGCTGAAAAAAATGCAAGAAAGGTGTAGGTATAGGGTAGGGTAATTTCAACAGTCCTAGAACCTTTCTCTCAGGTCTTTTACTCAATGCTATTACCGAAGGGGCCATTGCTGTGTGAGGTACTACACTAATCTACCAGGTATGTTTCTGTATTCAGAAATGTACCCTTGTCTAAACCACAGTACAGAATTGTTCCAACTGGTCACTGGAGGAGGCCATTCAAACAGTGAAACTAGTTAGGGTCACTTGTTATGTACACCAGAGACCATATACTGGTATCAGTATATGGCTTCTGTAGAGACTTTCATGTTGCAGGAAGAATGGTTGTGTGAAGATAGTGACTGTATTGTTGAAATAAGATGGACCAACACCAACAGAATCACCCAGTCCTCCAGTCTTATACAGTTCCAAGTCCAGTTATCAGAATGATGGTTTGGGCAAGGGTACATTTCTGTAAATAGAAGGCATCCTTCACATCAACAACTCCATCAGCTAAATTTTAGTCATCTACCGATTCAAGTTTTTCTGTTCTAAGTCCATAAATCATCAAAGATTGCCTTAATTATATAGTGATAATGTTTCAGTTTCAGACAAAGCACTAACTACAATATTTAGTCCTCTACTGAAAAAGGACCCACGAATCCTTTGAGCCTAGTCTTGCTTTAATTAGTGGATGTAACTTGAACTACCAGGGCTAGGCAGTTACTAGTTACTCACCCAGATAATGATATGGGTTAAACCTGAAGCTGACAGCAACATTTTGAATAAACTCACAAGGACATTTTTGATAGTAGGAAGAATCTATAAAAAACATTAATTTAATTAGAATTAATGAAAAGAGAACTTCTGATCATTATTAAGTCACACTGGACAGAATAGTGAAGTCCGAGACATGAAAGTTTAAAGTGAGTCAGATAAAGATGATGTAATATACTGTTAATTTAGTATGTCCATTGGTGTTTGTAATGTTCCATCATACCTCATGTAAAACGTTTGTAGTTTTAGAAGTATTGAATTCTTACAGAACTTTTAAATGGTTTTCCAGGAGCGAGAACGTCGCATCGCTTTGGGTTTGCCAGTTGATGGAGAGGAGGATGATGACCTTTTTATTGACCCTTTTAAGGCCATGGATGAAAGCGAGGCCGAGTTAGAGGACCGTGAAGGAGACAAGGTGTCATGGACATATTCGAACTACATGCGGGCATTGGAGAAGGAAGACTTACTGAATAACACTGATGAGAGCATGTTCAGCTCACTCACTGATGGAAGTAAGACACTTAGCTACATTTACTCGCTATCAATATAATGGCAAAGAATGATAAAAAGTATTAAGTAATTACTTCATCAGGTACAAATGCATAATTTCCTTGTTTGAAGTGTACCGGTATAATGTGAAAACGAACAATTGTGTTGTGTGAATTTCAGCCTCAAGAGTACGAAAATGAAAACAACTTTTTATGCTTGACCTTTGTTAAGGTCATATGTCTGATATGTTGAAATGCATACCTCACCAGTAGAGGGACCAATTTCATAATACACATTGATAAATAACCTAACTATATGTTCTTTGACATTTATCCTGAAATGGTTAACTGAATGATGGTTCAATCTAAAATATATTTTCTGAATGCAACTGAGTGATATTCCAAATCTCTACACTGTGTTGTCTGTGTATTTGAAATTCTGCACAGCAAAAACTAAAAATAAGGCTGTTTGTTGGCAAGTGAGATAAAGGCTTTTGTTGTGTGGTCCAAAAGCTGTAGAATTTTAATAGAGTTACCTGCCCCTGCCCCCAGCTGCATGCATGTATTGAGGTATGTGGCAAGGGTCACCATAATTGCAACTCCATAGGCCATTGTTGTTTCTTCAAATAAACCAAATGGCCGCTGGCAACATCAAATAGATTGTCAGAGATTTCCACATTCTGCTGAAGTCAAGTGGTACCAGTGGGTGGCTTGCTGGCTCCCAGCAACACTAACCCAACACACAGCTTCAGCCCTGTGACAGTAGGACCAGCATCATGTCTTGGACACACCATTTGTAGGTCTTGATGACAATGTAATGAAGCTAACCTTTACCATGTGTATGTATTCAATAGAGATAATATGCTTAGACCATATATATCAGTATATGGTCTCTGCCAAACCTAAGAATATTATTGGTATAAGTCTCTGGGTTTTGGTCTCTGGGTCTTGACGTTTGATATACTCAGTGTTATAAGACAGGTTATTACCCATGTAAGCTTACTTGTGCAGTGATGGTGGTCTGTTGATGGGGAGAAAGTTCTGGAGCAGACACAGACATACATATTCAGCAGAAGCCTGTTCCTAGCCTACAAGATTTAGGAAGTGTTGATGAGATAGATGTAAGTACTTCATCATCTTCATCCCCAGACTCTTTCAAGGAGCTGAACCTGGAGATGATAGCAGAGAATCTTGGGAGGGAGGACAGCCCCCCTCCAAGCAACAAGAAGTCTGTCCGGTCTGAGGAGACACAAACTACTCCATACAAGTCAGTGTTCTACCAATCTATTATCCAATGTCCATCCTGAACCAATGATGTAGAAAACAGGAATAAAAAACAGTACTGTGTCTTACTGGGATTGTTTTCCCTGGTTTAGAATGACTGATATTGGTATTTCTTGATCAGGATGAGAATATGACCTGACACATTAACGCTCAAGATAATGCCAACAAACTGACTCGGCCTAAACCCCAAATACTAGTATCTAATATGATCCGTTGTACATTTAAGTCAAAAAGCTCAGTGGTGAAACAAAGAAACAGTGAATGTAAAAGACCCTGTTTTAAAATAGTTCAGTTTAAATAACAGCCACTGTAATGGTAATAAGTCATAAAAATATTTATCTTGATATTTTTTTTATAGGAAAGCGAGTCGAGCTGAGACGTCGCTGAAACTCGTAGAGGACAAAAGTCCAAGAAGAAGCCCTGAACCAGCATCAGGTAACTGTTACTGTAGTAGTGGTATACAACAGCCAGGTTGATAACTATAGATACAATGTTGTACATAGCTGGTAGCAGGTAACTGTTACTGTAGTAGTGGTACTACAACAGCCAGGTTGATAACTATAGATACAATGTTGTACATAGCTGGTATCAGGTAACTGTTACTGTAGTCGTGGTACCTTACCAGCCGCGTTGATAACTATAGATACAATGTTGTACATAGCTGGTATCAGGTAACTGTTACTGTAGTCGTGGTACCTTACCAGCCGCGTTGATAACTATAGATACAATGTTGTACATAGCTGGTATCAGGTAACTGTTACTGTAGTCGTGGTACCTTACCAGCCGCGTTGATAACTATAGATACAATGTTGTACATAGCTGGTATCAGGTAACTGTTACTGTAGTAGTGGTTACTACAACAGCCAGGTTGATAACTATAGATACAATGTTGTACATAGCTGGTATCAGGTAACTGTTACTGTAGTAGTCGTGGTACTACAACAGCCAGGTTGATAACTATAGATACAATGTTGTACATAGCTGGTATCAGGTAACTGTTACTGTAGTCGTGTACCTTACAGCAGCCAGGTTGATAACTATAGATACAATGTTGTACATACTGGTATCAGGTAACTGTTACTGTAGTAGTGGTATCTACAACAGCCAGGTTGATAACTATAGATACAATGTTGTACATAGCTGGTATCAGGTAACTGTTACTGTAGTCGTGGTACTACAACAGCCAGGTTGATAACTATAGATACAATGTTGTACATAGCTGGTATGGTAATCAGGTAACTGTTACCAACAGCCGGGTTGATAACTATAGATACAATGTTGTACATAGCTGGTATCAGGTAACTGTTACTGTAGTTACTGTAGTCGTGGTACCTTACCATACAATGTTGTACATAGCTGGTTGATAACTATAGATACAATGTTGTACATAGCTGGTATCAGGTAACTGTTACTGTAGTAGTGGTACTACAACAGCCAGGTTGATAACTATAGATACAATGTTGTACATAGCTGGTATCAGGTAACTGTTACTGTAGTAGTGGTACTACAACAGCCAGGTTGATAACTATAGATACAATGTTGTACATAGCTGGTATCAGGTAACTGTTACTGTAGTAGTGGTACTACAACAGCCAGGTTGATAACTATAGATACAATGTTGTACATAGCTGGTATCAGGTAACTGTTACTGTAGTACTACAACAGCCAGGGTAACTACAACAGCCAGGTTGATAACTATAGATACAATGTTGTACATAGCTGGTATCAGGTAACTGTTACTGTAGTCGTGGTACTAGCTTTAACAGCCACGTTGATAACTATAGATACAATGTTGTACATAGCTGGTATCAGGTAACTGTTACTGTAGTAGTGGTACTACAACAGCCAGGTTGATAACTATAGATACAATGTTGTACATAGCTGGTATCAGGTAACTGTTACTGTAGTCGTGGTACTACAACAGCCAGGTTGATAACTATAGATACAATGTTGTACATAGCTGGTAGCAGGTAACTGTTACTGTAGTCGTGGTACCTTACCAGCCGCGTTGATAACTATAGATACAATGTTGTACATAGCTGGTATCAGGTAACTGTTACTGTAGTAGTGGTACTACAACAGCCAGGTTGATAACTATAGATACAGGTTGATAACTATAGATACAATGTTGTACTTAGCTGGTAGCAGGTAACTGTTACTGTAGTCGTGGTACCTTACCAGCTGCATTCATAACTATAGATACAATGTTGTACTGAGCCTGTGTAGGTATAATGCATGGTGTAAATGGTTGTAACACATACCAGCATGTGTGATAAGTACTGCTGTTCCACAGACCCTGTATCAGGTATGGTGTATATGGTTGTAACACATACCAGCATGTGTGATAAGTACTGATGTTCCACAGATCCTGTATCAGGTATGGTGTAAATGGTTGTAACACATACCAGCATGTGTGATAAGTACTGATGTTCCACAGACCCTGTATCAGGTATGGTGTAAATGGTTGTAACACATACCAGCATGTGTGATAAGTACTGATGTTCCACAGACCCTGTATCAGGTATGTATCAAGTATGGTGTATATGGTAGTAACACACATACCAGCAAGTGTGATAAGTACTGATGTTCCACAGACCCTGTATCAGGTATGGTGTATATGGTTGTAACACACATACCTGCAAGGTTCGCATGGAATATGTCTATTCTGTATTTCATGTAATATCAAGGTAGGAAACTCTCGGTGGTTTGACATGTAGTTACTTGGCGACAATCTATTGATGTGAGTCAGGCAAGGAAGAACATCCACTTATTAATGTATGACAGCATGTTATGGCGTTATCATACGTTTTTGTCCATGACAGCAATATAATATGCTGCTGTTGAGCAATCAGCTCTAAATCAGAATGGTGTTTTGACTGCAAAGCCTGGGAAGAAACTGTTCTTTGTGTGTCAAGCAGTTGTTGCCCATATCTCCTTCTCCTGATCGGGAGTCCATCAACATTCTACCATGAATAAGTCATCAGCTCTTCAGAGTATCTCTCAATCTACATTATTTACAGCAGCAGTTTTGACTTATTAATGAGATTCACATGCTCTTGATCAATATCTTAACGTAATGGCCAGGTTAATTGTTTGTATATTATTTGTGATGATGAGTAGCACTTTAGAAGAATACGATGAGTAACAGAGCCAGTAACTGCAGCAATATGTTCCCATCACAGCACTGTTCAGGCAAAACTGTACATACACAGAGGAGTGAAGTTACTGTCATCATTTAAACATTTAGAAAGGTGAAATTTGAAAAAAACTCCAATGTTTTGTCAAACTTTTGCATTTCTGAAAATATAAATGAAAATGAATGAATGTTTATTTACTCTTGTTTTCAAATTATAAGATTTTTTTTATTCCTCATAATGCACTCTGATAAATTTCAGCTCCAACTGTTTAGCTTGGAAGTGGCACATAAAAAAAATGGCTATTTGTTTTCAAATTATATATGCTAATGGAAAAGAATAAATTTCTATTGATAATTTAGAGATGAGTGAGTGAGTGAATGATTTGATGTGGGTTTGTGACATTCAACAAATTAACATTCCGAGAGGTCTAATGAGGCAGGTTATTGTATGGGCCTGATGACATTGATGGTTGCTCATACTGTCCACCACTGGTTTACCTGGCTCTCAGTCTACTTCTGGTCATGTGGTCAACATGGCTGAACTACTGCTGACTATGGCACAAAAAGACATTCACTCACTCTGCTGTGACGTGTTCATTTTTGAAGTAATCATTGCCACAAATGAACATGAAGAAACTCACAGATGCATATATGTATTGATGTAATTGTGGAGCTTTAGGCAGATATTTTGCCAGATCTTGAAAAAAGCAACATAAATAGTTTACTGGGTACTTAAAACCAGTCATCTTGAGAATATATGGCTTCATAAGAAGTTGAATCACAGGTTTCTTGTCATACCACGCCAGTGAGTGATTCTGCCATTTCCAGGTAATGTGAACCATCTTTCACCTGTTCTAGTCCTGACTGGTGAAATATGTCAAGTTTCAGGAAATTATTACAATATTTTATAACTGACAGAATAAATTTGTCTCAAGAGATATTAAAGTAGCTTACGTTTGAAAGAAAATAATGTAGATGAAAATCACTGTTAAATACTTGAAAGCTTCATGATGAAAAGTTTAAGGTGTGTATCAGAAAAACAGTTAGAATACTTCATGGACAAAATTCTCTGAATCTTTTCAAGGATACATCTGACATCTGACTGAAATCTGCATTAGTCATTGAATGTGAGATGACCATTTTCTTTGATGATTGGCCAAAGCATCCTACTTTCCATCACATCATTTACCATGAAAAGTCAAATTCATTAATATCGTGTGAATCTGCCTCTGTTCTCAAGACAATCCCAGATTCAATCAAGTATGTCCCTTATCATACATCCAATGTCAGTTTGTTTCATTCCAACCCTCTTTTTCTGCCAGGCAGTGCCAAGCTTGTTAAAAGTGGCCAGTGATTCATGGTTGATGTAGCTCTGTGAAGCTCATCTTCAATCTGAGAGGCTCTTTGACCACAGTTTCTTAACAATCATTCTGATGATTGGTCTTGTGTGCCAGTTGTCACCTTAGATTGACAAGATTAACTTGACTGTCATCAACATTATCTGTCTGTCAATATTAAGACTGTACTCTGCTAATTGCTACTTAATTATCTTAAGAGTTTGTGCCACAGTGCTCTGTCTTGTTTCAGGTTCCAACATGCCAATTACATGTACTTGGGTAGCCGTTTTTGACATCACAAACGCTGCATGTAAAAAAATTGTTTAACTGATTTAAGAACAATATCAGAACAAGTTTCAGTGTGTTTTTTATCATTGAAATGTACAGAAACACATTGATACATGTCCCTGGTAATTTCAAGTTTTGACCCAACCGTGTTCAAGTGGGTTATGGCCCGGGGAAAGCGAAATCTGGACCAAACCTCCTCAATTTAGGTGTCGCTTTCGCAGGAACGGTCAAGCTACAGTGAACACAGAGAGCTCTTTATATAGGGCATTTCAATCTCAGTTAATCTCAGTTAACAGGCTTCAAAACTAAAATATTTAATCTTTAATTACCTTAATTGTTTGATCCAGAGGTACAGATAAGCTGCGTATCTGTGTAAATTACGCAAACAATTATGTGAAAACTCAATTCCTTTCAAGTCTATTGCATACAAGTACACTTGAATTTTTGTAAATACTCAATACATTTGATCTAACATGCATACTGTAACATTCTGCAAACCTACTAGAATTTGGAGTAAGCAGACCCATGTGCTACATACGTAGGTTACTGGGGATAGATAGAATAACTGAGGTATATTGTGAGGTTCTATTTCAGCACATAAATAACACACATGTTAACCAACATTGACACTTTATTCTATTTTCACAAATAATGGAAAATGGCAAATACCCAATTGAGTTGGAGTGAGGTGGGTATAATTTATTTGGTTATACTCAAAGGAAAATTAGGATACCCAATTGAGATGAACACAAGCGGCTACATAACTCAATGACCCAAAAAGTTATCTGTAGCTCTGATTGATCTTTGTTAGACAATGTCACATGTAAAAGAGCCTGACTTATTCATTTATTGTATTTATAAGGTAACAGGAAACTTCATCACAGTTAAGAGGCTCAGAGATCGAGTATTGGGGTCGCTCGCTAATCTGAAGTATGGTAATCCGATGTTTTCATAGCAATTCGCTTTCGCGGCACTTCAAGCACAACTTTGGTTTTCAGCTTTACCGGGTATAGGGATTATTGAAATTTCGCTTTCCCGGGCCGACACCTTCAAGTGCACATCATGGAAGATGCTTGCATGGAATTGGCTTGTTTGCATTAAATTCAAGACACATTGTGAATGGAATAACCAATTTCTAAATCCATATAGATTCAGAAACAACATCACCCCAATATGGAATATCCCCTACTTTGTTTGAAAAGTATGCATTTAAAACAAATATTGGGATAATTTGTTACAAAATATTTGTTTAACAGTATGTTTAAAATATGAATATTCTGTAAGTAGATGAATAACCTTAGTAGCACTTTAACTATGTGCATGTGAACTAACTGGACAGATTTCAAGTATATGGAATCATTTTAGGCACCAAAAGAAAATAGTCACATTTTTATGGCCAAAAAATGTTTTTAATCATATAAAGATGGACTCCATTTGGAAAATAATTGAGTCAAAAGGAACTTGAAACATTAATATTATCTTATAGTCATAAACAATTATACTTCATCAAGTTTCAGTTTCTTTGAAAGAAGAGTTGTACAGAGCATAGGGGAGTTTTTGATTACATTAATATCCTCATTTGTCTCATATGAAGTCAGTCTAACCCATATTTGAAATTGATATAACTAGTGACCATTTATGAACCTGATCATGTGTACAAGAATAGTGTCATCAAGCATGAAGTCCACAGAAGTCCAACATTTCACCAGGCTCCAGTGTCAGAAGTCATCATGTTTTGTTTTATGATTCTGTTTTATTATCCTGTTTGTTTCAACCTTTGTTGTACGTTCTGCATGCTTAGTATTGATGTTTGACTTGCAGGCTCGTCTAAAAGCAAGGTAGGGTTGGGTCTGCCGAGTGTTTTGTTGATATTATAGTGTTGTATAGACATCAGCTACCCTACTAGTATACTATAGAGCTGATACAGATAGTGTAACACTACAGACATGTGGCACCACTTGGAACAGGTGGAGATGGACCAGTACCCGCATTGTTATATCGTATTTTAACCATTTACCATTTCATGTTTGGATGAATCCACAATTAAAGAATTCAAAGGTAACTACCTCAGTAAATGAAATAATCTGACTTCAAGAAAGTATTATGTTGTGATTCTATTTAAAAGTAGCACAAGTAAAATGTACAACTATCAGTATCACACAGTAGATGGACAGGTTAGCTACACGTGTAAGTGAACCCCTCTAGGAACAGTAACATTATTTACTTTGTTCCTTTGCCTCTTGTGTGTACCGATAACACAGTTGTAAGCTTAGGGTAGTGCTTTATCTTTTCAATGTTTAGATCCAAACTTCAAAGAAAAAGTTTCAAAAGAACATAATCAAATGAATAACATTTGAAAAATTATATTAATTCAAAATATTTAACCTTTAAAGTAAAGCCAGACCTCTTTTTCTTGACAAACCAAAAGGTTTATGTGGATGAGACTATGGATGAAGCTTCTTAATTTATAAGCTAACATATGTAATATGTAAGCTTGACTAAAGGTGTTCATCACAAACATTATATTCATAATGCAAAGTGGTGCTACAGTATGTCTTTGTGGCTTCTTGTAGATTAAATGTGCTTTTAATGTTGATTTGTATGTTTGTTACAGTAGTGTCCTCGCTCAGAGGTAGTATGTTGTTTAGTGTCGTCTTTCAGATGGGCATGTATCTGCATTAGGCTTGTATGTGAATGTGAATATATTCTTGCAAGAAATGTACTTGCTTTTAGTCTCAGAAAATATTTGCCATTTTTATAGACAAAAAACTTTCTGAAACATAATGAAATGTTTTGATAACTACCAGTACATGTATTAATTTCTAAGATATAACAAAGTTTATGTTTTCACTTCTATCATAGATCTAAAATGATTGGAATTTCTTCAAAGCAGTTAGTCAAGTGAAATGGTATTGACTTAATGTCATTTTAATAAACATCAAGAATATGAATTACGCATTCACAAAAGATGCTGTCTTCTTTCAACATCTCAAAAAAAACATAACATTGACTTTGCTATTTTTACAAGAACTCTTTCCACTTGAGAAAATCTCAAGCTAATTGAAAAAATCTAATTTGACAAGAAAAGTTGTAAACTTGACACTCATGATGAGATCAAACAGATGTATAAATGTGCAAGCAATTCCCTCTGTTATGGCTGCCCTGGCAAATTAACACCTTTGTGGATAGCCTGACCTCCTGGGCTGAATCAGCAATCTCTTAACATCCACTGGGGCCCACCATTTGTTTTGTGTTTTATCGTTTCGCAGTTGTAACCAGCATTATGATTATTCCTCCGCTAGATTACTGCGGCATCAGCATACTGTGCTTTTGTTTGTTTCATGTTGTTTTTTTTGTAAATGTCAATGTAGCTCAGTGTGACCGACAAACCATTCATATCTCTGTGTGCGTGACCCAAAACCATTTGACATTTTCTCCACCTCTCTTCACCTACTTGTTCTTTATGTTTTTTGCTTTGGATTTAAAATTTCATTATAAAACTCACATTTTCAGGCTTTTAAAAAAAGGTGTGTTGATACCTGTCACAATAAAGTGTGAAAAAGGGGTGCATATACCTAAACACTCCATCCATGAGGTATAAATGCATTCCTGTTTTTAAATGTCAAAGATACATCACTTTGGAAATGGAATACTATTGTTTATTGGCAAGCCACACCTAAGTACCTAAACAATTGAGCAAAAACTGTTCTGATAGCTAAATTGTAAACACAGATATTCATAACATTATACAAATGAAAAGGATGTTTTAGTGATACATTAAGGATGAAAGATAATTTTTTTCAGCAAGCCACACAAATATGTCATTCATGTGAAAATATATCACTGATGTCTCTGAGCATGACTTTGAACCATTTAGTGTAATGGGTAATCTGAGAGGGAACCAAAATCTTTTACTCATGGAGGGCTGAAAAATGCTTTCTTAAGAAATATTTTCTTAAACTTATTTTTATTTTATTCTCGAAAAATATATGCATTTATCATATATGTCTTGTTGGTCCCCATAGGGTGACTTCCTGATGTGAATCCTTGTTTGTTTGTTGTTTGCACGACGGCAATATTGTTTAAATATATCAATGATTGGGTAAGTCAAGTCAGGGAGGTGTATGTATATTTGGTTCTTATATAAAAGTGGGTAACTTTGTCTGGTTTTAGGAAAGCCCAAAGGCACTGAAGAAGCTAAACTGAGTCCAAGACTACTTTCTCCAAGATTACAGGAAGCATGTCCAGCTAAAACTCATCAAGAGAAGATAACTCCTACTAAAACAATTCAAGGGAAAACAACTCCTACCAGCCACTCCCATCCAGGTGCTGCCATGAAGCTGATGGACCTTGACAAAGGAAAAGTTAAACTTTCTCGTCAAATTCCACCTCTTGTTCAGAAGAAATGATTAATTTGCCTTGGGTGACCTATTCTCCTGAATTCATTAATATTATGTAGGTTCTAGGAACAGTGATGGAGTTGTCGGCCATGCTGTCTAGAGTTGGTGATGCAACAGCCAAATACATGGACTTGTATTGATGAATATACACGGCAGGTTGACATCTGTACACTATCAGGAGCTTACCTCTGTACACTATCAGGAGCTTATCTTACATAACATTCAATAGCAAATACAGTGAATTTTGTTTATATTTTGGAACTGATTTGAAATAAAGTTCAATGTTTGGTTTGGACACAGACATTAATTAGATTAATTATTGTCAGAGGTTCAATACACCACATCAGTAATCAGTGTAGCAGGGCTGTTACCTTCTGCCATATGAGATATGTCCATAGCCAAAAGTCTAAATCATCTTCGATTTTATGCTAATATGTATTCTTATTTATATCAGTAATATATTGTATTACATCTGTCAAGAATTGGACTATCATTGAAATAACTATAATATTGTGTACAGCTTGAAAAATCACATGTAAAATGTTGATTCTACTCAGAACTACATTTGCATAGATAATGTTTTTCCTGATATAACATGTATGTTCCTTATGTCCCTGACTCTGAACGATTCTTACTGGTCACAGATAAGTTTAAATATTTACACTAGGTGGCTTACAATAAAGCCAGTTCAATTCTTGACATTGGGTAATGAAAGTTTAATGCAGGTGAACGAGCCATGTGAGAAAACAGCCCAGGTCAATCAATGTTGTTTTGTATGTCAAGGTTTGGAGATAATGTTAGTTGAAATTAGCATCCCTTCACACCTTGCCCAAATTACATATTGCTAAGGTTGTAAACAAATAATGTGAATTTTTAAAGAGGTGGTTTCTGAAAAGAAAGAGAATCATTTTGAAAATATTTTTCAGAAAGTTTTTCTTTCCTGTCTCTTGTTCACATATGGTGAATGAAATACATGGTGTTAAAGCTCTTATAACCTGACAATATAGAAGCAATGGCTGTATGTATCATTTCTATATACTTGGCACTCACATTGCCAACATAGACAAGCTGAGTATAAACAATGCAGCTATGAAACTGTTGCTGCCTCTACCCCTGAAACTGACCTGTGAACGGAGTACCACTACCAGTGGAATGATTTCTAGATCTGATCAAGGCATGTTCAACTATAGCCAGATTGCCATCTGTGTTACATAGAGCTTTACTTTGGTAGCTGCACAGTTAAACTCATAAATCAGTGATATACATAGAGATAAGTATCAATTTTAAACCACTAAAGCTCTGTATGTGTCTGTAAGCAGCTTTGATCATCGAACATGTCCACATATATACCCGGTACACACATTCTAACATTGATAGTTTTTGCTTAGCTAGTTTGTAAATATTAATTATTTACAACGAAAAATATGCCATTGTGTACTGTTAGGACATTATATATGCCATATTATTCATTACTATTTATAATTATTTATGGTTATTTATAATTATGATATCCTGACCAACACACTGTGATATCTGGACAAAACTTTTTTCTTGACGTCAATAGATTTGCTTCCCCCAGACAACCCTATGTTTCTCAGACTGGAATCTATTCAAGGTATTATTCCTGGTATTATACTTAGTGCTACTTAGACTGTTTTCCTTCAACTTCAAAACAGTTTAGTTGATATTGTGGAGTGTTAAAGTCTTTAGATATAAAACATCTATTAGTCCATATTTTATTGCTATCCATTATGTTAATTACATTCATGCCATGTATAATTTATGTGTACCCCTATATAGCATGTTGATTTCATCAAACACAGCTGTGATTGCCGATTTATGAGTCCAAGATTTTGCTCATAAAATATTTCCCTTTAGTATACACTTTGTTGTTTCTGTTTTACATGTATTTAAAACATTAAACTGAATGTCATCTGTTTATGTAATATGGATTGGGTGAGCTTTTCAAGATGAGATAATTTGGTCCATATGTGCTTGTGTGTCAGAGCTGTTAATGGAGATTGAATGAATGCTTGGTATTCATTAAAACAACCATACAATATGCACACAACTTGCTTGCTGCATGGAACATGTTTTTTTGACAGCAGGGTCCTTATGGAATGTTTTTACATTGAGAGAGAATGTTTTAGTGAACCAGATGACCCAATATGACTGATGTGGTCTATTGTTTGTTCACAAGTACTTCGAACTCTGTGCTGTTCAGATTGCTGATGACCCAGATTAGGAACTAACAGAATGCTTGGTGCAGTTGTTGATGGTGGTTTTGACAAATGAACGTCACACTTCATATCTCTTCATCACAAATTGGGACACTTTGTGCTTTACATAATTAACTACCCCATTACCTCTTTCCTGTGAAGATCTGGATTAGAATCGGTCTTCAGTAACCAAGGCTTGCTGTAAGAGGCTACTAACGGAATCGGGTGGTCAGGCTCGCTGGCTTGGTTGATACATGTCATTGTATCCCAATTGTGTAGATCGATGGTCATGATGTTGATCACTGAGTTGTCTGGTCCAGACTTGATTATTTACAGATCACCGCCATATAGCTAGAATATTGCTGAGAGCGGCGTAAAACTAAACTCACTCCCTCACTTTTCTGTCTGTAGTACAGATGGATATGTCCAAGATGCATGCATTCACTGTACACAGTTGCAGTCACTGTACACATTCACTGTACACAGTTGCAGTCACTGTACACATTCACTGTACACAGTTGCAGTCACTGTACACATTCACTGTACACAGTTGTAGTCACTGTACACATTCACTGTACACAGTTGCAGTCACTGTACACATTCACTGTTCAGTTGCAGTCACTATACACATTCACTGTTCAGTTGCAGTCACTGTACACATTCACTGTACACAGTTGCAGTCACTGTACACATTCACTGTACACAGTTGTAGTCACTGTACACATTCACTGTACACAGTTGCAGTCACTGTACACATTCACTGTTCAGTTGCAGTCACTGTACACATTCACTGTACACAGTTGCAGTCACTGTACACATTCACTGTACACAGTTGCAGTCACTGTACACATTCACTGTACACAGTTGTAGTCACTGTACATGTTCACTGTACACAGTTGTAGTCACTGTACATGTTCACTGTACACAGTTGCAGCCCAAGATGGGATGAAAGTGGATTTGTCTGCATAATATTTATTAGTATATGTTTTGGTGTCCTAGCAACCAAGTTCATGTGTTTCACCAGCAATAAACATCTTGGAAAGCTGTCACATTGATTTTGTACGAAGGGGTTCATATCTAAAAGTTTTACCTCTATGGGCAAGAAACTTCTACAAAGGTTCATACCAAGTCCAATTCTCTGTTTTTTTATAACAATAGGTTATATGACATGACATTTGAATTTACACACAGTAATCAAAATATATGGATAGTTATTAAGAGAGCCCTAAAAAAGTGTTTAAATGTTGTTGTTTATGTACAGACTCACCAAAATTTTCACTCAACAACTACAAACCAAAAAGACGATGCATTAAGATTATGTCAGATCCAAGGTGAGCATTAAGATTTAGATGCAACAGGGAAAGTGTCAACATTTAACACCTTTACTAGGGATGTAGCAACAAGCATGTACTGAGCAACAAGGATATACTGAGCAACAAGGATATACTGAGAAACAAGGATATAACTTTTTTGAGTGGCATGTTTACAAGGATATAATGAGCAACAAGGATATACTGATGACCAACAAGCATAAACTGAGCAACAAGCATATACTGAGTAACAAGGATATACTGAGCAACGAGCATATACTGAGCAACAAGCATATACTGAGTAACAAGGATATACTGTGCAACAAGGATATAATGAGCAACAAGCATATACTCAGCAACAAGGATATACTGAGCAACAAGGATATACTGAGCAACAAGGATATACTGAGTAACAAGGATATACTCAGCAACAAGGATATACTCAGCAACAAGGATATACTCAGCAACAAGGATATAAGGATCTACTGAGTAACAAGGATATACTGAGCAACAAGGATATAATGAGCAACAAGCACATACTCAGCAACAAGCATATACTCAGCAACAAGGATATAATGAGCAACAAGCATATACTGACCAACAAGCATATACTGAGCAACAAGGATATACTGAGCAACAAGGATATACTGAGTAACAAGGATATACTGAGTAACAAGCATATACTGAGGAACAAGGATATACTCAGCAACAAGGATATACTCAGCAACAAGCATATACTCAGCAACAAGGATATACTGAGCAACAAGCATATACTGAGTAACAAGGATAGACTGAGTAACAAGCATATATTGAGGAACAAGGATATACTCAGCAACAAGGATATACTCAGCAACAAGCATATACTCAGCAACAAGGATATACTGAGCAACAAGCATATACTGAGCACCAAGCATATACTCAGCAACAAGAATATACTCAGCAACAAGGATATACTGAGGAACAAGGATATACTGAGTAACAAGCATGTACTGAGCAACAAGGATATACTGAGTAACAAGGATATACTCAGCAACAAGCATATACTCAGCAACAAGGATATAATGAGTATCAAGGATATACTGAGTAACAAGGATATACTGAGTAACAAGGATATACTGAGCAACAAGGATATACTGAGCAACAAACACATACTCAGCAACAAGCATATACTCAGCAACAAGGATATAATGAGCAACAAGCATATACTGACCAACAAGGATATACTGACCAACAAGCATATACTGAGTAACAAGGATATACTGAGTAATAAGCATATACTGAGCAACAAGGATATACTGAACAAGGATATACTGAGTAAGAAGGATATACTGAACAACAAGGATAAAATGAACAAGCACATACTCAGCAACAAGCATATACTCAGCAACAAGGATATAATGAGCAACAAGCATATACTGAGCAACAAGCATATACTGAGCAGCAAGGATATACTGAGTTACAAGCATATACTGAGCAACAAGCACAAACTGAGCAACAAGCATATACTGAGCAACAAGGATATACTGAGTAACAAGCATATACTGAGCAACAAGGATATATTGAGTAACAAGGATATACTGAGCTACAAGGGTATACTGAGTAACAAGCATATTGACTAACAAGCATATTGAATAACAGAAATATATTGAGTAACAAGGATATACTGAGTGACAAGCATATACTAAGCAACAAGGATATACTGAGCAACAAGGAAATACTAAGCAACAAGGATATACTGAGCAACAAGGAAATACTGAGTTACAAGCATATATTGAGCAAGCATATACTGAGCAAAAAGGATATACTGAGTTACAAGGATATACTGAGCAACAAGCATATACTGAGCGACAAGGATTTACTGAGTTACAAGGATATACTTAGCATCAAGGATATACTGAGCAAGAAGGATATACTGAGTTACAAACATATACTGAGTAACAAACATATACTGACCAACAAGGATATACTGAGTTACAAGGATATACTGAGCAACAAGGATATGCTGAGCAACAAGGATTTACTGAGTTACAAGGATATACTTAGCAACAAGCATATACTGAGCAACAAGGATATACTGAGTTACAAGGATATACTGAGCAACAAGCATATACTGAGGAAGAAGGATATACTGAGTTACAAGGATATACTTAGCAACAAGCATATACTGATCAACAAGGATATGCTGAGCAACAAGGATAGACTGAGTTACAAGGATATACTGAGCAACAAGGATATACTGAGTTACAAGGATATACTGAGCAACAAGCATATACTGAGGAAGAAGAATATACTGAGTTACAAGGATATACTGAGTTACAAGCATATACTGAGCAAGAAGGATATACTGAGCAACAAGCATATACTGAACAACAAGTATATACTGAGCAACAAGGATATAGATTTTTTTAGTTGCATGTTTACAAGGATATAATGAGCAACAATGATATACTGATGAGCAACAAGCATATACTGAGCAACAAGCATATACTGTGAGCAACAAGCATATACTGAGTAAGAAGGATATACTGAGCAACAAGCATATACTGAGCAACAAGCACATACTCAGCAACAAGCATATACTCAGCAGCAAGGATACAATGAGCAACAAGCATATACTCAGCAGCAAGGATATACTGAGCAACAAGGATATACTGAGTAACAAGCATATTCTGACCAACAAGCATATACTGAGCAACAATCATATACCGAGCAACAAGGATATACTGAGCAACAAGGATATACTGAGTAACAAGCATACTGAGTAACAAGCATACTGAGTAACAACCATATTGAATAACAAACATATATTGAGTAACAAGGATATACTGAACAACAAGGATATACTGAGCAACAAGCATATACTCAGCAACAAGGATATACTGAACAACAAGGATATACTGAACAACAAGGATGTAACTTTTTTGAGTGGCATGTTTACAAGGATATAATGAGCAACAATGATATACTGATGAGCAACAAGCATATACTGAGCAACAAGCATATATTGAGTAACAAGCATATACTGAGTAACAACCATATTGAATAACAAACATATATTGAGTAACAAGGATATACTGAACAACAAGGATATACTGAGCAACAAGCATATACTCAGCAACAAGGATATACTGAACAACAAGGATATACTGAACAACAAGGATGTAACTTTTTTGAGTGGCATGTTTACAAGGATATAATGAGCAACAATGATATACTGATGAGCAACAAGCATATACTGAGCAACAAGCATATATTGAGTAACAAGCATATACTGAGTAACAAGGATATTCTGTGCAACAAGGATATACTGAGTAACAAGGGTATACTGAGCAATAAGGATATAATGAGCAA